CTTGGTGCAAAGGTACTGTAGAGTGACGCAAGAAGATATAGTTTTACTCTGTGGATTTCAAGGCCAAATTGTTTGATCGGTACGCAGTAATGTAGCAATGACACGTTGTCGTGCTCTTTCCCCAGATGTTAGCGTGCATGAACAATTAGCTCCTTCATGCTTGCTTTTTTTCCAGCCAACAGTCGTCTTCTTGCAAGTTGATCTCTCAAATGATCGTGCTCATCAGCCGTGGGCATTTTCTGGTCCCTGGAATACAGTGGAGAGAGTTAGCGGCCGGGCTGCGTGTATGCTGGTCCCTGCCAGCGCAGCGTGACAATAAGCTGTGGATCGAGGGGTGAATCAGCCATTGCAACACAACACCCGACGATAGATGGCCATCTGTCGCAACGCGCATGGAGGTGCAGTTCCGATGTGTGCAGCGTACGACCTAGGTACTAGCTGGCGCACATGACGTCGAGGTGGTCGGGTAGGCAGCAGAGTCTTCCCACCGTCTGGTGATAACGACCGGGACAGCCCTTCTAACAGTCCGTCTAGAAGTCCGTCGGCTTCGCGATGCACGTGGGATGATCAGCCACCAGGGAGCGTCCCGTAGGCGCCCGGTGCCGAGAGGTAACCAAATGTCAGCATCGGGTGAGTGCGCATAGCATGGGATGCCTGGCCGATCATGCCGCTTTGTTGAAGACAGATTTTTGCGTCGTATTTGCGCTCGCTGAGTGAGCACTTTATGAAGGAGCTGAGTTTTCCCAGCGCTTGGTAGGGCAAGACGGCCGTTTGGTGACGCCGTAAGGGCTGCCGTGAGCGTTGGGCGAGGCTCTGGGGTGGTGCAGGTGGAGGGTCAGCGAGTGGCAGCGATTCGCCGGGCCATGGGTAAATCGCTCGATGCAGACAAGTCATGTGGTCAGTCGTGCCGGCGATTTGCTGGAATCGGCCAAGGGCGTTTTGTGGGATGCAGCACTATGCAGGCATCTTCGTGGGCCATGATCGAGGACTCTGCGAGGGATCAACCGGCGTCTCGAACCCCGCGAGACACCTCCCGCAGCTCCCAGGCAGCCCATTTACACGCTCCCACGCCATGCGCTGCGCCTCCATTCGCACTGCACTGCAGCTCAAACTCTGCCCGTGGTATTAATCCCCATCCGTCCTGTCTCCGCCGCGTGCTGGGTCACCCTTTCGTGAGCTGTCTCGGATTACTGCGCCGCCTGCTTCACTTGTGCGCTTGACGTTCACGCTTTTACCACGCTCTTACTTATACGCTTGTTTGCGTTGCGTTGCATGGCATTGTCATTCAATCCCCACCCACATCTCCGCTTCTGCATGTTCAGCAAATACACCCATCTAATACCATCATCATTATCACGATCCCCGTTGCTCCCATAACACACATCACGTTACATCATGGCGCCGACCGCAAATTGGAGGCAGTACCAGTCGAGTAATAGCACCACTTCTGGCCGCAGCGACAACAGCACCGCTTCAGGCCACAGCGACCACAGCGCTCACAGCGCCCGTTCCTACGACACAGCGCCGACAGAGTACAGCGACCGGAGACCGTCGCTACTGCACAGCGAAACATGCCATCCCCGCGTACAAGGACGCGGCCGGGAACCAGACTACTTTGTGCCTCAACACCAGGTCGACCGGTATCCACAGCCCCCGCCCCGCGCATCCGTCGACACATATGCCTCGACATCAGAAGAAGACCTTGCCGATGAGGTCGATGATATGCCCGACTACGATGTGCCTACATACCGACACGAGCCGCTAGCTTGCGATGCCATCCCTACCACACCCCGCGACTTTGGGGAGCTCTTCCCTACATCTAAGCGCTTATCAATACGCCACGACGACTCCACCATAGACGGAAACATGAATCTGAGGGTGGACACACAGGTCGAGGAACGCGGACACCGGAAACAGAACTACACCCTCTTCCACCTCCGCATGCAAGATCTTCGCACACGTCAATTCTCCCTCCGCCGGTACTGCAGAGAGTCAGGACGCGAAGTCTGCCATTCGACGCGCAAGTATCAGAAGCCCGCTGCGGAGATGCGACCAGTCCTGCAACGCGCAAGCACAGCCCTCGCTAGTTTGGTCAAATCCGACTCTCGCCCCTCGACATCAGCTGGTCTGAAACGGGCCGACTCCGGCTATGACTCCGTACAGGGCAGTGTTCATGACGACGACGACGATATGCCATCTGAGTCACGCCCTAAAGCTGTGGGCTATTCCAAAGGCCGCGCATTAATACCCACCAATACCATCAAGCTCGAGTTTTCGAATTACGCGCATCTCGATGTGAAGCGCCGCGGTGCCAAGTCATACAAGAAGTACGCTTTCGAATACTGGGGCAACAACTATTCCTGGAAACGCATCGTCAAGAAGGAAGGCCGCGAACAACATGAGTCTGTCTCTTATTATCTTGTCCGCGACGACAACGATAAGGAGCCGCTAGCGCACATCTGCCCCGTACGCTTGACTCGTGAAGAGGCACATGAGGAGGCTGCCCGCGGGGGCTGGATCCCACCGTGTTATATGCGTGTTACAGATGACAAAATCCTGTACTCGGACTCGGACATCTCTGAGTAAGTACATACCGGCTAAGCATACAGTACAAGGCAGCAGTGAGTTAACCATATGAACAGTGTTGTCATGGCGACAGGCCTCATGGCTCTTGTAGACGACTGCATCAAGCGACGCTTCCACTCCAAGCAGAGCACAACGATGCATATCCCACTCCTCCGAAATCCTTCCTTCAAGGTGGCCAACCTAGAATACATTGGTCCCAAACGCCTCATCGATGAGATGTTCAACCGAAAACATCAAGACGGTAACTTGTCAAAGAGACAGCCGTCGTCAGCACATCGTGTACCCACATCAGTCTAGCGTTTTCTTTATTTAGCTCAAGTTTGACCAGCGGAAATCCGCTGCGTTGGCGCAAAGTTTATCTGCACCAGGAAGTTGCAGCACGTTCTCCCATCTTGTACAACCAGCCTGTCAGAACTCTTCTGTTGGGATGGTCGCCTGTAGGCAGTTGCTGTTCTTGCATTTTTGGTGCTCAGTTTCTCTTTTACACCTTGGTGTCCGGCATGCGCATGATCTTCTGGTCTGCAGCATGCGTAGCGTTGTTTGTTTGTTGCATTTGTTGAGCCCTTTATCGTTACACAGGATACCAATCGGCGTGGATGTCCTGCACATGCACATAATGCCGCCCCTTTTGGTTTACGAATCGCCACGTTATCATTCTTGGATCGATACATACTTGGATCGCAGTTACGATACCACATTTTGGAACGAATAATGACCTGAGCTCATTTGCTCTTTACCTTTGGTTCATAATCTGCCACACGTGAGGGTTTTCTATTCTCGGTGCTGTCATGGGTGGAGCGCAGTACGCTTCTGCTCCTAAATGAAGCTGTGCGAGTCTGGACAACGCTCGTTCGACCGCAGGGTTTCTTCCAATTCATGTTTGCTTACGCGTCAAGTTCAGAACAAGATGAGCCCGTTCATTGAACGCACACTCCCGGTAGAATGGTACTGACAGGTTACAGTGCTTCATGCTCCGTCGCGGCACATGGCTCGAAGACCCGCCGCCAGCAATATAGCTCGGGGCCGCGTCACTATACTGTCGCATCTTCCACGAAACTCAACCTCAACTCTGCACCTGTTCTGCATCATCCTAGTATTTTCGACCACGACATCGGCTCAACGCTATTTGTGCAACTCATGGCCTTTTCGCATGTAAAACGCACAGTAGAAGTTAACATGATTTTCATCCCTTCGCAATTGAGTGGTTGCTCGCCACAGTACGTCGCGCTGGATATATCCCGATCATGCACAATTCAACACGTTCCGCTAAACATGGTATTGATGCAAAACATTACTTAGCATTTACCGAAGACATGTCAATGACAGGAATTTCTCAAAGGCGTAGAGGACCAATACTCGAAACAGCCAATTATATTAGGCTGTCTCGTAAGGCTGCAGCAAGCAGGAACTGGAGCCATATGTTTGTGAAACCACATTTATGTAGTTTGACTTTCGCTTCACGATAAAGCATCCGTTGATTATCCTTGAGTCGTGGCAATATTACAATATAAGGGCGTACAAACGGCCGGCAGGTACCCGCCTTCGTTACCCCTATGATAGGTCTTCCTGCCTTTTCGCCACTTCAAGCATTTAGCGAGCGGAAACACCTCAACTGTCCGCCTCATGCCGTCAAAAACACTATTGCTACAAGCCATCCGCTTCATAGTTGACAAATGTCTTTTTGTGTCGTTTGATATACCTGAAAAATGACCTGCCAAATAATATACTTCGGTATGAGATCATTGCCGCCAAAACAAAGAGTAGGCAGGGACCCTGTGAACACTACTGCACAGTGACCTGGCATCGCTTCACACTAGCCGTAATGTCTTGCAGCCATGTGGAGTCAAACGAGCTTTTGGGCTGAAGTTCCAAAACACCCTCACGAAGAAGCCGCAGCTTTCAGTTGCATGCTCTTCATGCAGCTCTTCCCATTGCGGGTGTTGACAAGCGCCCTATCCGTGCCCACTACCAGCAGCTGCCGGGAGACTGCCGCCAACTCTTCGTACGCAATATTCGGCTGCGCATTGCTTCAGCCATGTTTGGGGTTACTGCGTGCCCCATCGGCCCGCTCTCGAAGGCGTTCTTCCAACCCAATGGCTCGGGTGTGGAAAACTTGTCATTGGCCACGGAAACTCACCTCGCAGACGGCTTCTAGCAGGATATGCGCATGTCACTTGCGAGAAGAGCATGACCGACGAGACGGATCGTTGCATGTGTTCGTAACTCATTGCTACAACTCTCTGCTTCTCCTGCTGTTGAGTGAGGCTCTGCGTAGCTCGCACATTTTATAAGTAGTTGTTCTCCTCAAAGCATCGAGCTTCCACCCCCTTCTCAAGCATCGATCTTCATCCCTTACAACTTGCGTCTTGTCTTGAATCACCCCCTTTCAACTGTCATACACAAACACTGTTGTCATGGCCAGCCAAGAACTGTGGTCGCAACGTCTTCGAGGTTTGCCTATCCACCCCAATCATCGATTCAACGCACGCTGACATGCTTCTCAGACCATTGCCTTGTAAGAGGTCTTCAGGAACCAGCCTACACGGATCTCTCTGACCGTCGTGGTAAGTCAAGCTCAGCTCCACAGCACTTCATATGACTCAACAAGCGTCTGGCTGACCTTAATCCTAGGAGGTCGAACGGCCTGGTCGACTATGGTCACAATTAACGGGAACAACTTCCAAGCAAGGTTCTGGTACGATTGTGCCTATCTCCCAAATGCAAAAGAAGATTGCGCTGAGATCGCGCTACGATCCCTTACTGGATATACGAACACCACTCAATCACCACCACCGGCAAGCCACTATCGAGCCGTTGCGAGTCGTCAAGACTCGGCTGTCAATGCCGGTTAGTTTGATCAGTGGTCTTGCTTACAACTCCCCCCTGGTAGAATTCTGCGCTCTCTTAGCCGACTTAGGAGCTTCGCATCGACTTTGTGTTTTTCGGTGGAAATTTGTCAATTGTGAATGTTATGGTATATTGGAGTCGGTGAGGGAACCCAAAAGGCGGCGGCTATGTCATTCTTATCGTACTTCTTTTGAGTGTGACAGAACGAATTTGCACAGGACTGATGGTTCTTTTTCTCAGACATACTTTACATGGTCGTGCACTGTCGTCGCTCCCTTGACTGCTCAACTGTGGTACACTAAGCCCTAGCGCACTTGCTGAACTGACGTCTCTCCTCCGTAACGACTTCTGGAATTACAAAAACTTCTTCGCTTGGCTCCTTCTCCATCCAGCCATATCGGACAAACGAATCAGCGGGATCAGCGTCCACACAGCATCATTCTGTCTAGCATGCCCAGACCGGGTTCCGTCAAGACTTTCAGCTTGATTGATAGCAATGGCCTCGCAGCCACACTGGAGGATGACCAAACACACGACTGCAGATCCGATAACGTCGTCTCATAGACATAACGGTATCTAAAAGCGATGTATAGGCGCCCGGAACATATCCCCGCAAACGAGTTCGTTTATCCCAGACTAGCTGTCAGTACGACCCCACTCTGCCCGAGTCGAACGTACGGATCAGAACTTGCCTGCAGCTCACTACCTGTTGCCTAGAGTGCCTTGGTTCGGATGAACGCGAGATTAGTTAACCTGCTTGAAGGCAACAGACGTGGCAGTACTTTCATCCATTGGATTCAGGAGCCATCCAAAATAGACCACACATCTACACGTCTCTCTCTTTGAGGGCTCAGTCATCATACACATATGAGAACTAGAGCACTTCATCACTCGTCACTCCATCACCACGGCCACGATCCGCTGTATGATGCACATCGGAATGATGTAAGCCATGTCTGATGCTAGCATGGCAAGATTTGGCGACTCAATGGCCGATTCACCCTCCTGGCCACGTCGCAGGTGCATTTCATGTACGCGAAATACTTGTGTCACCTTTAACGTGGGATTGCAGGAGCCAGGGACCGGAAGACTCCGCCACGCTATGGAACTGTATTCGCCGGATCTGGATGCAACATTCGGCGAACATGCGCCTCTAGATTGGCAATTTGATCAAAGCACGGCAGAGGAGTTGTAAGAGCGAACATGCTTTCTTGCTAGTCGATAAAGAGTATCAGGACAAACCAGATGAGTTTACTAGAGCGCCCATACCGCGTCGAAACTGCGAGCCGAGTGTAACAGCAACAGGATAGACATTATTCGGCCGTTGAATGTGATGTCCCACAGCGGCGTTTGAAGGCTCCACGGAACACGGCAAAGAGATTACGAGCTCGCATTGCCATCTAGGAAGGCTGGTCACTACAGTGACAAATCGGAGGCATTTTGCTGTTGTTAAGCCAGCGCTAAGCCACTCAATTACGGACCCCATGCGCACATGACAGACAGCGTCTGCAAACGGTACCCACTCCGTTGCATCCAGGGCTCCATGGTGAGTTCGTCTCCGCCTGGACGCGGTTCGCCAAGGGAATATTCTTCGGTTTGTGCTGGAACTGTTTCAAACGTGGTAGCATGTAGCCTGAAGGCCGCTTAGTTTCGGTAGGTTGGCCGGCGCACGTAGGATTGCAGCAGGAGTCATTCTAATATGTAGACAGGCATCTCTCATGCCAGATAAGGAAGTCCTTTGCATGTTGAAGATTCGAGCTTTGAGCAGAAGCCCCTTAGATGAGTCGTGGTTGCATTTAGCGATTTATCTAGTACGTTCACTCCCTGCAAGATCACTGATGCAGATCGCCGCGAAAGTGCCGTCGCTCTCCGATGTAGCTGGCGTGCGCAGTCCGCAAGCCTCTATTTCTCTTCTCGGTTCTTTCAAGAAAGAACCCCCGAACTGTTTTAATCAACCAGCTGTACCCCTGATGTTCATCATCTGAATCATGGCTTTAGCGCTTAGCCACATCAGCGTTGTCAACGCCCCGAATACCCGGTATCTCAATTTGAGCGAAACGGATCGCCTCGCACCGTCGACTCACCGATCGAACCACGCGATACATCCCGTCCAAAGTACATCACACAACGATGAGTACTCCCTCTCGCTATCGACCTATCCCAGCCACATTACCATTGCGCAAAGCCTGTATCCACGATGTGGGCGATGACAATTCCAATGGGACAACACATTCGCACATCAGAACCACTCTGAGGTGGCGGTAATCATGAGAATCAGGTCAAGCCCTTGCCCAGTACCGCCACGCCTGTATGGCAGCCTGGGTAATGGGTTATTCCCGCTGGCAGCACACACACACACAGCGATAGCCCGGAAGTCTTCCACGAGTACAGGGCCACAACCTTAGTCTACGTTGAAGTTTCGTTCGTCATCGGGATGGAAGCAGAAGTGTTACATACCCAATGACTTCTGGGCGACTTGGTTCTGATCGTTCCGTGTACGACGCTCCCGCGAAGACTAGTCCACGAGAATGACTACCTTGACGATTGGTTCGCCTGGCACAAAGTTGGGGGCTGGCCTAGCCCAGTCACAAAGGACAGAACATTAATGTCTCACGAACGCTGTAAGTGAGAAGTAGGCGACTTCGCTTGGTAGTGTCCAAAGGGTTAGAGTTTACATCTCCCCTAGTTTGACAGCGCACAGGAGTGGTTCATTGATGTATCTCCACCAACTCGAGCTTTGGATTTGACGCGTAGCGCTAATGTATGTACTAGCAGAACGCTCTGCGCTGATGTGGCACGGCTACGAAGTGCATCCCTCGTCTAGACCTCCCGACAACTCTTCCAACGGCCGTCCCAAGCATCTTTTCATTGACGCATGCCAACGAAATTTCGATAATCGATCGGCACGACTCCAACACAGAGCTTTAGAAACACCAAAAGCTGATCTCGAGCATAGCTACACCAAATCTTGCGCTCGCTTGCTTGCTTTGGACACAATCGCGGCAAGCCATACCATAACAAGGCACGAACACTGAGCAGGAGCCAGTAGCACATTGACGAATGCATTTAAGAGACCCCGAATATCATAGACGCCACCTTGGATGTGTCAGGGAAAGCTTCTCTTCGCGGCTGAGTAGGATTGTGGTAATGCGCTTCCTTCTAAGCTTTCAGTCACCGAGTGTCGCATAACCACGAGGTTCGAAATAAGCGGAAGAGATCCAGTCTCATGGAAAGGGAACCATAATCTCGGGCTGTACGAGACTTCCGAGTTGCACACAAATCAGGTCGGACCTGGGATTTCTAGTGCGCAATAACGATGCCCAGCCCCGGTGGCTGCACGCCAGGTCCAATCGAACCGGGGCAAGCTACGTATCCTTGTGCCGCGGTGCAGACCAGTGCGGTGTTTTCCTTCGCGAAGCGTGCGAAAGGTAGCCCAAGGCATGCTGTCCTGAAGCTGAGTATCGGTCCGACCCGACGCGCCCCGGGGCGTGCCTTCCGCGGGCTAAGACGCTGGCTCCCGCTGGGGGGAGCGAGTGTCTTAATTTACAGCCCCGTAAAATCAGCTCAATACCTCTTCCACACAAACTCTTCATTGGAAACGGACTGCAGCACGAACGATTCTCGATAACGCTATTGCTTTTAGACCGCTTTTGGTGACGCATACGTATGATGTACCAATATCACAGCGCACGGATGCACAGCCGCCGACAGTTCCGCTTCAAATCTTATCTTCCATCCACATGGGAAGTTACAAGATCTTACTGCCCAGATGTTCAAGGCATCTATCAAACACTACAAACCTTGTTTGGTGCAACTGCACTGCTTGAACGTTGCCTACATGCTGAAGCAGGCCCGATAATCTGACGCACTAACAGCTTAGGAATCAACCGTCTCGATATCGATAGCGCGCTTCACCTCCGACCGTTCCTCCCTCGCACGACTATGTCACTCAATGGTAGCCACAGCTACAGGCTTTCGTTGAACTGACGATCTCCGTGTTACGATTATTCGAAACCATACATACGTTCGACTTGGATGTCTCCGGGACCCTTGTGTATTACTGAGGCGCATCGCTCTTTGTTTTCACGGTCGCAATCGCCTGCCCTTTCCTAGGGTTATACAATTAGAGTGGTGGCTATACCGCCTGATCCCATCAGATCTACTACGCGTACTTCATAGCACCTTGAGTGGTTAGCGATACGCCACGGTTAGAGTGACGGGCTATGGAGACCGATTCACTTCGGCAGATCTGAATCGTATGAACACAACGAGCAGCAGGCTAGCTGCCGCCCTGAGACATCTCGAGTAGGGGGGTTTGTTGAGACAATGTACTAGCTGCCCGGGGTGCTGCTTCTTTAAAGCCATCACAGAGTAAGGAGCAGTCACTGACTGCACCAAAACTGGCTTCGCTCCTGCGTTTGATTACGACAGTAAGTATGGGGACTCGACCTCTTATTGTGCTGAGCATGTCAATATGCCGATATTGTACCTTGATGTTGTTGTACTCGGTCTTTCCATCCCCATTCCACGCTACCACAGCGGTGAACGAGGCGCGAACGTTCTTCGCATGAACCCTCTCCTATGCGCTGTCGCGCAAAATCAGGATACTTCCGCTTATCACATCGCGTCTTCTTCCAGAGCTGGTCCGTGAACGCTCGTCTCTCCGAACCGGCTAAGACGTCATTACCGTTTTCAGCTGATTGGACGAACTTAGCGGAGCGACGGGAGCAACCGCGTCGGTACTGAGAAACCCCAACCACCTCCCCTTATGGAGAACTATACAATCAATCATAAGACCTCGATCCCCTGTACGGACTTGGAATGCCACTACAACCTTGCAATCAACGGCTCGTCCGTTCTCCGGGGGTAATTGAACCCTATTTCCGTAACACCCCAGGTGGGGATCCGCTTCTACTTCCAGTGACATTAACATCTCTCTGCATTTAACAAAGCAAGCTATACTAGGTAACTCGTCCAAGCCACACTTCCCAAGTTCCCGTCATTTTTTAAAAATCCAGACAACCATGGCCACAATGAGCGACAATACAACGGGGAACTCTGCCACTCCTTTGTACCGGTCCCTCCGCGGAACGGCTCTCAATTTCATCGAAGCCCAAGCTGTGGATAATAGCCTCCCCGAACGTATGAACTTCGCGCTTCTGCGCACTCATTGTACTCCTAACTTCCAACACTCCTGGGGCCATAATTACGCCGTCTCCATCACCCCACCTCTCCAAGGGTCACACTCTTTCGATGATTTCGTCAAACATCTGAATTTCATGTTGCCCAAGTTGGAGTCGTGGAAAGCAGATGTCACGAACATCATCGTCGACCCAGTGATGATGAAGGTCATGTTACGGATCAGCTTTTGGATGCAAGCCAAGGGAGCGAAGGAAGCGGACAAGGTAGAAAACGATTTGTTGTGGGAGCTAGAGATGGAAGAAGTTAGTGAGGGGAAAGTGAAAGTCAAGAGAAGCGTTGAGTTCGTGGATGGGGCTGCGGCAGGGAGGTTGAGGGAAGTTATGATGGGAATAGCGCAGGGTTAATGGCGGTCACTTGGAATACATGACGTTGCAAAGTATGGTTGTGTAACTTTCTGTTAATTCTGATGTGTAGACGTTGAGGTCTCGTTCTTCTATCTTGAGATACCTAGTGATCAGATGAATGCTTTCTAAATCGAGTCGTCCTATGCCCATAACTCCATCGCTACCGTTCCCATGCCATCGACCCATATCTTGTATAGAGTTTCGTTGTGTATCATATCCAATATTCGTTTTGTTGCTTTTCTTTCTTCATCTTCATATCATCTAGTGTGTTCCATTGGTGGTTCCCTGTCTGACCATCCAAGTAAGCAAGTCCACCTTTGTCACGACAGCAATAGCCCTAGGCTCGCCATCTACGCGCTCGGTGACAACAGCAGCGCTGTTCCACTCGAAGAACTTGTTCAGGTCACCCAAGCTGGTCTCCTTGGTGATCTCAACAAACTCCCTTCGTCCCTTCTTGCCACCCTTCTGTGTGTTCTTCGCATTGTCACCGTCAAGCGACAGACGACCGAGGTCTTTCACGACTTCGTTCAGTTTGCGGAAATCGAACATGACTTCTTCGACTGACGACTTGGGCGTAGCGCGACCTGCCGCGATGTAGGAGAGGAGGTTACCGAGGGTTACAAGACCCACGAGACGCGCCTTTCCAGACGAAGAGTACGTGCTGACAGGAAGCTGGTCGAAACCCTTCTCACGCATAGTTTCTATGGCTTCGCTGCATGGCGAGTTGGAAGGGATGGTGGTGACAGGCTTGAGCCGGAGGGAAGCAATTGTAGCGCCGTGGAAAGCGTCGGCCTGCTTGGTGGTGGAGAGACGGCGTGCGGACGCGCCATTTGTGTCGGGTGTCAGAGGAGGCGTAGGAGGGAGAAGGTCGTTCGCTGCAAGCCAGTCGTCGTCGGCAAACTAGAGTGTGTTAGTGTGTTGAAATAGAGAGATGAAGTAGTGGATAACGAACCTTGCTGAGGTAACTCCTGATGCTGTCCGGAAGTATGACGACAATGACATCGTCTTCAGTCAGGTTCATGTCCTTCGCAGCTTCAACCATGGCAGCCATTGCACTGCCAGACGAACCACCAACAAGGATACCCTCCTCGGCGATCAGCCTGCGTGCGTACATGAACGATGTCCGGTCGTCTGTCTTGTACCACTTGTCCACAATCTTCTGCTCCAAGACATCAGGAATGAAGTCGTATCCGATTCCCTCAACCTTGTAGCCCTCGTTCACACGTTCGTCGTTGAGGCTCGCGGGGAGGGCAAGAATACTGCCGTGCGGGTCGGCAGCAACAATCTTGACATCCTGCTTGTGTTTCCGAAGGCCGCGTGCGAGACCTGTAATGGTGCCTCCGGTTCCTGCACCAGCAACAAGACATGTGATCTTGCCGTCTGTTTGTGTCCATACCTCCTCCGCAGTGCCACACTCATGCGCCATCGGGTTATCCGGGTTCGAGTACTGGTCGAGGATGTGTGCGTTCGGGATCTCCTTCACTAATCTCCTGGCAACACCGATATGACTTTCAGGGCTGTCCCATGCCGCGCTTGTCGGGGTACGAATGATCTCAGCTCCGAGCGCCTTGAGAACCGCCACCTTCTCCGGGCTCATCTTCTCTGGAAGCGTGATGATGGTTCTGTATCCCTTGATCGCGCCTACCAAAGCCAGCCCAATACCTGTGTTACCGGAAGTAGGCTCGATGAGAGTGTCACCAGGCTTTATGCGACCGGACTTCTCAGCGGCCTCGATCATGCGAAGGGCGATGCGGTCCTTCACACTACCGCCGGCGTTGAAGGCTTCGACCTTGGCGTATACGGTTGCTTTGATTCCCAGAGACTGTGGGATCTTGTTCAAGCGTACAAGGGGTGTGTTGCCGATTTGCTGCGTCATGCTGTCCATGACTACTGGCGGAATGGCGGGGCGCGTCTTGGTGGACATGGTTGCGGTATTCGTGTTTTCGTGTTTTCTCTACGTATCTGGGTGATGTAGATATGCTGGAAATAGGTATAATGAGAGTAAGCAAGATTTTAAGCAAGGAGAGGAAGCGCACGTCAAGAACGAAAAAGATGTCGTGATACGAACGCAAAGTTGTCGCAAAGAACAAACTCGATGCCCTGACCCGCTACTACCCGCCACTACAGCCGCGGTTGAGCCACCGCTAGCACAGCCTTACCACGCTAGCCAAATTTGCTACCCTAACACCATCTTCACGCCACAGCGAGGTCTTTGTGGTTCACGTGGTAGACAAGTGTTACGCAGCCGGTAGTGACCATCAACTACCGGCTGGTCACGATATTCGCTGAAAGTCGTGTTCATAAGATGTCCTTGGCGTCAATATATCCGCCGTCCACGTGCAGAAACGACCTCGGGAGTTGCTTGCGTCCGGCAAAACGAAGAACTGCAAAGAAATAACAGAAACTCAAAGGCCCTGCGACCAGCTGAACGATTATGAGCTTGAGACAGAAACATGAAGTGATGGCCTATAGCCTCGGATGCTTGCCTCACGTAGTTGCACATCTGCTGCGACGTTTGATCACCAGGTGTTCTATCTTCGAGGCTACAGCACCCCACACGCGTGACCAACCCGCTTGCGTATGGCTACCCTTCCAACCCAGATCCGCGGAACCCCAAACGAGTAAGCCACGAGCGCGAATCTCGAGGCTTTGTGGAACTCCACACCGATACTCCGCCCCAAGTGGGATCCGCGCGGGAAAGGACGCGGAAGAAGCGGAAGGCTGCCACTTGTGGATACGGGGCGTAATCATCGATCACTAAACCATCCGTCTCTCCTGCTGAGTGGACACCAATGTCCGACAGAAGTCAGCTTAAGGTTTGATCCCGTTTGCGATGTGGGATGAGGGTAGAAGAGGGTGGTAAGCTTACAATTGTCTCAGCCGTGTCCGTCGCTCGAACACTCCAGCGGAGTGGGTCCGGCGAACAGGACTGCATACTGAGATTCGCGTCCTGCATGGTGTGCAGCAGTCAGCTCGCTGTTGACAAATTACCGAACAACTGGGTTGGGCTCATGGTGTCATCGGTGTACGTCCCGAACGGATATCCAAATGTGAAGGCATCTGACTTTCGGGCCGGTCACCCATGGTCTTCTCCCCCTATTCACATTGCAGGAAATGGTGTTCGTATTTTCTCATCAGATGGTCTCATATCAACACCGCATACAACCATTAGAGCGAGACCGATATTTTGTAAAAGAGTGGATTGAGTTAGACTATTTAGAGAAGCAAGGCGGGACGCAAGACCAAATGCAGGAAACGATGACATACTTATGCGAAAAGTCAGAAAGGAAAGAGTTCTTCGCCTACTGCGAAGTAAGGAGTTCATCCATAGTGGCGGGCTCAGGTATGAACATGAAAGCAGATCGAGCAAAGATGAGTGGAAAAGGAAATAAGGGAAATCCAAAGAACAGCCGCTACTAGACATCTGGTAGAACTGGGAGCGTCTCCTAGAACAACGGAGAGAAGAAAAATGCTAGAAAGCAACTGCAGCCGTTAGTGCTACTGAGGAGCATAGGTGCGACGGCAAGCCCGTACATCTGCATCCGGGTCAAATGTATCTTCGGGACAGTAGAGGAAAGTATATCAGAGCGCCAGGTTCCAGGGGTCGTTACTGACCCACTGGTTTTCTTCCTTTCCGGTTCTCTCAAGCAGCTCGTTTGGTTCAGATTCCGGTTCAGTCTGCTGGGTCAGTTCGTCTTTTGTTCCAGACCGATCGATTGGTTTGAGTGCCGCGTTGGGCTGTTGCTGAGTTGACACTGTTCCCTTTGCGGTCTGTATGATCCCCTTTCCGATCTGCCAATATGTAAGCAAGAGTTTCATAACCTTAGTGGCATACTTACATTGACGTCTTGTTGTTGCTTTATCAACAGACCCCAGAATGTTTCACCCATTCTTTCCATGTTTTTCTGGCCATCCGTTTCCAGAAGTTCGAGATCATGGATCTTTTTCGGAGGGGTCGGGACAAAATGTCGGCGCTTTTAGGAAAAACCTGCACCTTTTCAGGAAGTTTTACTTTGGTCATCGGGAAGTAGGAGCCGCGGCCGTCACCTATAAGAGGAAGATACTGGTGTTCGATATCTCTGTCTTGATTGTAGTCTATCCACGTTAGCCGGCATATGCCATTCTTCATCTCAACAGGGGACTTACGTTTCTTGAAATAGCCATAGACATCGATTTCCTTTCCATCGGAATCCTTAATCTTCTCCCCAACATCTTTGGCGAACACAATCTCACGGATCAGGAACGGCTCGGACCATGTGTTCCTGCTTTCGCTGGTGGTTTTTGGTTTCGTATGCTCGTAGTTGCGCTGAACTTGAAGACCAACCAGAAGGTCCCTGATAATGGGTTGCAGGCGTCCGATGCTCTCTTCGTTCATGTGATCCCCGAACACATCCAGAAGTATTTCATAGACATTTCCACAGGTAGTTGGAAGAGCACAGGTCAGATCAAATACCATGTGCAGCAATTTCTCTTCAGCATCGATTGATAGACGGCTCCGTATGTATAGCGGGTACAGGCGCTCCTTCATCTGCTGCGAACCAGTGCTTGACTTGTGCGTGTATCCTTCAATCAACGGCGTTATGGATGTTGTCTTAGATTCTGGGGGCGCGGCCTTGGAGTCTGTAATCTTACTGAAAAGCTCCCGATTCATAGAAAGATTTCCAAGACTTTGATCCACAATTGCGTGGCGACTCTGTATTAACAAATCCAGGGACTTGCAGTAGAGCTTGCGATCTTTGTCATCGTTGCTTTCCAGCAAAGAGACACCAGTAACTCGACATTCCATTCGGCCCCCGGGCAGACCAAGCTTGTCATTCCCAGGATATTCGGTCTGGAGAGGATATCGTCCCAAGCGGATGTTCCGTATCGAATGGGATGGAATAATGAGATGGCACTCATGCTTTCTACCAACCGGTTTCTTGTTGATGGCAGCAATATCCTTGTACTCCAGAAAAGCGTTTTCCAAAAGCTCCTTCCAGGCGGGTTCTTGGTGCTTGCGGCTGTATATCCTAACATAATCATCAGGAGTATGTACCTCGCGATTTTCATCGAGAGATTTCGATGACCAGAACTCTACTCGGATGATCTGGAGGTCGGGGAGATCTTTGAGACGATAGGTAAGGCGGCCAAGTACGGTCTTGGAGGATGACTTCCACGCTTCAGCCTCAGAAGCAGCCTTCTCCGCAGCCTTCTTCTCTGCTTTCCTCTTATTCTTTAACTCTTTCGACATTGTTCGTGCTGCTATCGTGAATCCAAATCGGACAAGTACTGATAGAAGTATGAAACGCCGATGCGGTGCTGAGAAGAATGAAGTGATCTAATGCACATACTTATACAACTCCCTACGATTGATCACAGCGCTTGTCCTGGGTCACTTGTCCAGAAGCTGCAACGCTGCACAAGCTCACATGCTGCTTGCTCTATCTCAAGAGGTCATCATGGTTTGGAAAACTAATCAGATATTATTTGCTGTTGGAGCACGCGTCATGATTCCAGCAACTCGATTTGAACTCACGAGCTTGGCTTGAAACCAAGGCGTGACGGATAATCAAGGTATTGGGATATGTCTGTAGAGTTGGAGCTGCGTCGTGCCTCAATGCAAATATAAGTTGTGGTATGTCGATGAATTAGCGGACATATAGGAGGGATTCCAAGTAGAACCACTATGATAGCTGCGAATTGAGAGTACCAGTTCCTGTCATATTGAGGAATATGTTGACTGGCATGTTTAACAATCTACATTGGTCAATCGTGATCTCAACGAAGAGTAAGAGAAACTTACTAGTTTTCTACATTATCAACGGACGGGGTATCGATACACTGCGTCCATCTTATGCCATGACACTTCCAAGCACGTATAACGTCTTCAAAGTTGTTCCGCAATCCACTGCCACCACTTCTCTACATCACCGCCCTCCTTGCCTGCGATAACATTACCCCCAATCACATCTACACTCGTTCCACTCTCCCTCATCTGCTCAAACGTGAACGCGCCTTCGCCACCCTCGCCAAGCCATTCTTTCTCTTCGTCAACCTCGTCCTCACCTCCACTCAGCGCCGCACCTGCATCACGGAGCGCCTTCGCCCTGTTAGCCCTGACTTCCGTGATGGTTTTCTCAAGCGAAGTCTTGACAAGGTTCGGGGGCAGCGCAGTGAACAGGTCCATCTTATTTGCTGCAACCAGGACAGGAATTTCTTTTGGTCCTTTGCTTGTTGCAGCGTTGGTGTAGCGTTTTTGCAGCGATAGAAGGACGTCATGAAGGTACTCTCCTGCCTCGTTCAACCCGGCTTCATCGCCCAGCTGGGCAGCGTCGACAACGAAGATTATAGCACGGATGCTCTTAGGGTCGGCTAGCTGGGCGGTGGCATAGTGTCTGAGCTTGCCGTGGCCGGGTGTGTCAAGGAGAAGGAAGTTGCGGGAGCGCTCGAAGGCTGGGTCGCCTGGTGAGCGGTAGTGTGAAGATGCGGGGACGTGTGGGCTCGGGAGGATAGCGGAGACGGTGAGAGGGGTAGTGGAGGTGTGCGTCTGCGTCGTAGCATTGCGCTCGGCCTAGTAGTTGTTAGACGTTACAAGGCGCACTGTTTTAGGGGACTTGTTACCAATGTCGTAAAGGCCGTCTTTCCACTGCCACTTGGTCCAACGAGCAACAAGGTAGGCTGTTGCGCAGCCGCAGCTGCCTTTTTGTACAGAATGGTGTGTATTATTATCGGCAGGCCAATCGCGACAATGAAGGTGATGAGTATGGTGAGAGGGTTCGGGGAGAAAGCGGCCGTGAGCCAGCTGTCCTGGTCGTACCACGCCATCGAAGCTGAGATGCGTTGAACAAAGCGCCGGGTGCGCGATGTTATGGGATTGACGGATTAGGTGCCTGTGAAAGCGGCGTCGGGGTCAGGGCGCTTTCAGGGTGACGCGTGGGTGTAGCGATGACGTGACACCTTTCAGGATCAAAGTTTTGGGCCACGTCCCCCGAGTCAGTCAGGGAGTGAGGCCTGAGCCGCGGGGAAGGCGGGAACACGTCCGACGGCAAGAGCTTAAGAGAACCTCATGTTTGCTATTCTTCGCCCTTCTCCTCGTCTTTGACCATTTCCTCCAACTTCTTGTGAGGCTACCATATCAGCCTACATAACGCTTGCGCAATGCAGAAGTACGGCAAGGCTCGCGTCTGGCAGCGCCGCCCTGACTCGCGCAACATCACAAAGAGAGTGGTGCACATGATGGGAAACGAGAAGGGCCGCCTGCATTGGACAACTATCACACGCTTTTAAGGCACTACATAATCATACAATAGACAAGGGGCCGCCACCATTAGCTTTCCCGTGTGTCGTACATCTCCCATCCAGTTCGTGACTGTGCCACAGAGTTGCTTGTCGCAACCCTAACCTGACAAATTCATACTCCCTAACCGACATTGCAGTTCCCTTGTGTGCGCCTTCAATCCTGCTGAAACATACCCGTGTACACCATCCTTAGTCGTGACCCATTACTCATACAACCATGATCAACTGTCGCTGCAAGCCCGCAGTGGCAAATGCTGAGGGGCATAGGCCATAACGTACCAGGCAGGGATAGCATGAAGGGGAAGAGCGTGACCATCGACCTTTTGATCCCACGTGCGCCATGCAACATGCGTTCGCATTCATAACTCGTAGCGTGCGCCCATAACCTAACACCATCTGTACGTCTCGTAGTGCGTAAGAAGGCCCATCATAGACCAAAACTTTAAGAAGAAGAAGAAGAAGAAGAAAAAAGACTGTATGAAAACGACATGCAAGAAACTAGACTTCATCCAGGTCCTGCAAAACAGGATACTGACAAGCCGTGGCAGGGTGTAGGGTTAAATATGCTGTGGGATGACAAATGGAAAAACGGAACGCAGTGAAGCAGGCTAGCAATTTGCGACACACGAGATGCCTTGCAGCTGAGTGCATGGTCGGCTGAGGTTCCGCGGAGACGGATATTGGGGGTGGCTCCTCCAGATGCAGACCAACATCAGAGTTCCGCTGCGGCAAACATACTTAAGGCCTACGATATAGCCTTTGTTGTGCGATTTGTGATACATCGCTTTGTGCACCATCCTTGCCTTGTCATGCGGTACCGGCCCGTGTGTCTTTCGTTCAGGAAGTGATGTAAGTATGGGGGGCCGTTAGTGTTCGTGTTGGCCAAGGATCAAGTACAGTAACAATGACAAAGCCGCCGCAGAACCGAGAAGTTTATCGTGAAGCACTCCAAAGCGATCGTCGATAGCGAAGGATATTCGCCTGTCTATGCGGAACCAAGTCTTGTTGACTTCGATTCTTATATGCAGCGGGCTCAAATTCCCGTTGAGCCGGCCAACCATTTTCTTGACAGCTATGACGGCGGCAAGATGTGTGCGCATCAATAGGTATGAGCTTGTACGTCCGGATAGTATCCGCGACTACTTTCCATTCCTTGAAATCTACCACAGCCTCCAAGATGCCAGCCAGCAGTGGGGTATTCATCCTTGATCCTGCGATCGGGAGGGGGTAATGTGCTTTCAAGCTTGGGTGGTATCGGCTCGTAGATGGAGGCAGGATAGTAAGAGTAAACCTGGGGAGCATCCATCATCTTCGCGTCATCGTCTTCGGTCATATGGTTTTCGCCAGTGATGCCTTCAACAGGGCCTCCACTCAGAGAGCTCGCTGAACTAACTGAATGGCTGCCGACAGGGCTTGGGTCGAGGGAGTATGTATTGCCACGATACATGCTACTGCCCATCCCAGTTGCGCTACCACCTGACAAGCCGGTGGTCCAGGGCGAATAAGATGGTCGGCCAGTTGAGCCTAGTCCGTGATGACCACCTCCACCCAGGCCAGAACCAGGGGCTCCTCTCGAAGTACCGGCATTGTGGGGGCCCTCATTCTGGTAATGACTAGGCGATCTTCCACGCACAACGACTGGGGAAGACATCCGAGCTGCAACCTTTATCCATTTGGGCTCAGCTTCTCTAGGGGCCTGCACGTTCGCCCACAACTCCACAATCAGGTGGTAGTATTGCTGTTGGGCCCGACGTTTTCCATTGTTTGCCGTCGCTGACTTGAATTGTATACGTTCGAACGAATGTTGATAGTTGCTGCTGGAGTGGCTCGTGGGAGAATATTGCTGTGACGAGTCGCTATCGCTTTGCAAAGGGAGCTGAGGACCTGCGACGATCGAGGTCTGATGGAAGTTGCTCAGCCCATATCCGCCGTGTTCATGGCTTTTCCCTGGAGGCGTTGGTGCTAGTAGTTCCTTCTTCATTGGCAGCTGCGGGCCCTTATCGCGCTTCGGTGTATGCTGGATCAACTCGATAGTCTTGCCCGTAGCACCATCCACAGCAGCAGCGAGAGATACAGCCATGGATTGTATCTGCTGAGCCGTCTTATTGGGCTGTTCAAGATACAAGCGTGCATTGGCAATCCACGGCGAAAGTTGGAACGATACGTTGACCGAAAAATAATTCCTCCTGTAACAAGTCCATACGCGATCACCAGAATAGAAGAATCCCTTTTCAATCTTGGCGTCGATACTCGGTGTCACCACGTTACCTTCACAGGTGATGTTGGCCAGTGTCTCTTGCGTGTTGAAGGGGGGCGTTTCGGGTGAGCCTGCAGTTGTGGTATACGTAGTGGCATAGGCACCATTGTAAGTCAAAGGCATAGTAGTTGTATGTACGCTTCTAGGAGTGTCGGGCTGGGTGTTGTATCGAGGTAGATCTGAGCGAGGAGACAGAGCGTTGGAATATCTAGGCACACCAGGTGTTCCGGTTGTATAATTGTCCCTAGCCGACGAACCCATGGATGGTGATACAGAATGGCCTAGCCCTGGTGATCTTGCCGGAGGTAACATTGCCGACGATGAGGCATCATTTCTATTGTGTAGCTGTCAGCTGTCATGCATTGCCTCGGGTTCTACACGCACGAGTGCGCCACAGAAGATACCTACAGTCGTCGAGTTGAAGACATGCTGCCGTACCCACACGCAGCGCTGAAGTAAGTACCTGGCACGGAATAGTGAGTTGGATAGTTGGTGGCCAAAGTCGACGAGTATGAAGGGTAGGAAGTATAAGCTAGTGCCGACAAGGCGTTGGAGCTAGGCGATGTAGAAATGGAGCCTGATCCTGAGTCCGATAGAGCCGCACTCGACTGATAGCTGTAGACATAGGTCAGTCAAACTCGCAAAACAAAGCTATTCGGCCAAAGTGATGCCAACGACAACGATGTGTAACCAAGAGTAGAGTGGCACAGTATAAGTCGTCAACCAGTTCCAGGGGCGGTACGGCATTGCCGCTAGGCTTGTCGTGTGATCAATGTGACAGACCGACCTGTTGGGAAGACCGAGTGCGCCATGCATCCGGAACGTGTGCGACGACAAGTATGATGAAGGACATTGACTACGTGTTTGTTTCGGGGTAGGAGAGGCCTGAGCTTGGGCTGCACCAGGCGAGAGAGGCGTCGAGGGATGCACGCTGGGGGCCACAAGGCTAGGCAGCACCACGGAGCCTATCATGCCAGCCCGGGAAGACAAGGACCAATGAGAGTGTTTACTTACGCACTGTCGGGACGATGTGAACCGTAACGGCCTGTAATCGAGGCCTGGTGGATACCGGTCGCAGTATGTGCTAGGACCCCGTCGCGTCTTAGCTGATCGGGTACGCCTGCAAAGGAGTTATGATGTGCATGCGCGCCGATATGATCCAAGCAGTCCTGCTCCGAAGAGAAAGGGTTTTCCGGTGCCAGTGGCAGCGGTGATTGCAGCACTGCTTATCCTGCACGTCAGCCAATCAACTTGAGCTAGCCGGTGTGCTGTTGAACAAGACGTGTGACAATAACGAACAACGTGCACGGATGCCGCGATAGAGAGCAACAAAAGATGCGCGTGGGACGTGGTTGCACAAGCGGCACCACAATCGGGTGGCAGAACAAGCGTGCAAAACGCACTACAGGGACAGGAACGAATGAGGGCCCGCTGCGTGCTGCAGAAATCAAAAGGGAGAAGGCTGATGCACACGCTGTGTTGTGGTGTAATATAGGAGTGGACGCGGGGAGAATGTTGGTCTGGAAAGAGTGCGGAGAAGGGCGCCAGTTTATGGCTGAAGGTGCAGCGCTTGGAGCGAGCGACTTGGGTTTTGAGGATTCGTGTATTTTGCAGGACATGGATTGCAAATACTTCGGAATCTGACTTACCTTGATTCATTGCAGCAACAACCAGTAATGTACCGTTATCCCGCTGAGATCTGTCACGGCGCCTTGTGAAGATGCGACAGCCCTTACGAGAGACTGGATCTCACGCCTGACTCTGCCGCTCTACGCAGTAATTCCGACAGTCTGGGTCGACTTCGATGGCGCCGGCAGTGGCGAAAGGATTCGCTGCTGACAGACTTCCGCTGCGGCCGAACTGCTTTGCGCCGTCGCTCAAGACGCGGATTCGACCGGGCGAGTCAGTGTTTCGCGTAGCGATTGCGATGCTACGCTTCGGGGTGCCGAGCCAAGCGTCGAAGGGATGCTGAAAGGGGATGGTGGTGAAGGCCGTCGACTCGTCTAATCCCGCTGTTGGTTCGCTTGAGAAGCAATCTGGGGGGTTTAGCCGGCACAAGGGCGGGATCCTCGATTAGCTGCCGCTGCGCTTCGCTGGGGGCTAGGCTCCGTTAATGCTGATGTTCGGCCTGGGGGAAATGCGGCTATTGCAAGCAGGCACAGTAATGCGTATATTCAGCAATGCTGAAATTATGGTGAGCTCCCGGTTGGCTCGGGTAGGCTGATAACTCAGCGCGTATATCTATCATAGAGGTTAGCGGATAGGCGCGTCATGGTGGTGATGGTGGTAGAAACTTGGTGAGTAAACTGACAGTTTTGAGGTCGAAAAAGGTGCGATGCAATGTGCATTGATGTCACCTACGGCGACTGCGCAACACCTTAAACCCTGGAGATATAACGGCTCGTCTACGCAGAGCGAAGAGGCCCGCAGCTGCGCTTTGCTTCTTCCCGCACTCTACACAGATCTGGAATCTCGAATCCTGCGCACAGACAGGTACGGATAGCGGCCTTGTCGTTGCGTACCTGATATCTGGCTGCGACGTAGGCGGTGTAGGCGCGTCTCTGACGTCGCAGTACTGCGATCTGTCAGTCTCGCAATATCGACCGAGGGTAATGTCGCAATGAGAGTGGAGCTTACAGGGTCCTGCTGCAGTCTTCCAAATAAAATGATGTGGCGTCGACTGATATTCGATCGTGGCGGCTTCGACGAGGATGCTGACCCGTCGTCGGATACTGGGTATACGCACACCGGGTTCGTGGATGCGCTCGACAGACACACGTCGTTGTCTGCCTTAGGATTGAAAGTTTTGAGTACAACCACAAGTGATAAGTCGAGTACTGTCAAGATGTTGCAGTAGATGTGAGCCTGGGTCAGTACATCGAAGATTCGTACGGTGAAGGGGCCGAAGCATATATGCACCGTGCCCTCTATCGAAATTTGATCTCCTGCTCTCAGACTGTTGCACAAGCTCGCCAGGGCTCACCACCCCCGTGATCTGTGAGGTTGGTAGTCTACCGGCGTGTGGTCTCGAAACAATGACTTGAAAACTGCTGGGAATAGTGGGTCCAGGGCAGGGACTAACGGCAAGCGATGAATGAAGTGGGAGGGTCCAACGACACGGACAGCCGTCGAATAAGGATGAGCATACAGAAAGTGGACAGTAGAAGTACAGTTGACAGACAGGAAACGCTACAGCTCGATACAGGGTAGAATATGACTAGGGTGAGGACGGACTTGTTGGCTCAAAGGAGAAGTGCCTACCAGATGAGTATAGCCTCGAAGCATGGTTAGCATGCTGAATCAAGATTCAGCCCCAGTGCAAATGATCCGTACTGCTCAGGCCATGGCCGTTTTCTAGCACCACGGTAGTATTGGCAAGCTGCAGAAGCGAGCCTTTCCTAATAGAGAATCTATACATCTCCGATGTTAGGGAAGATCAATTCGCCCTGATGCCTAGGCTTACGTCTTTCGAATAGTCGATGAGATTCGCACTCCATTCCCTCATGGGAACGCAGGCCCTACTACCTCGCGGGACCATGACCCACCTACATGCCGCACATCGACTGGCTCGCCCGGTAAAGACATCACAGTCCCGTGCGGCGATGCAGGAACATTGACCACGACACCACTCTCGAAATGGGGGCCGACTTGACACGGCAGCAGAGCAACCAGACTGGCGGGTCGTTGATGTTTCATCTCGATCAGCCGCTCAGAATAACCCATGAAGCGAACGGATGATCATAGTTTGCTCTGGTCATGGCTCTGTTAGATTGGACTATCAGTCACGGGCGGCGTCCAGTCAGCAGCAGATGGCGAAAGGGCCAAGACCCGGCGTAGCTAGCAGCGCCACGGGCCGGCAACCGTTGGCAGACGACAGGTCGTCCCGCAGATGGACAGTGAAAGAGGAAACTAGAGGCACGAAGGGTTGGGCTCGAGGCCGTTACCTGTCACAGAAACGAGCGCGACGGCACTACTTGGCTTCGAGGGGCCGGTTTGACGTGATTGTTGGCGACGAGGGAAAGCAACCACATACAGGCGCCACGGCCAGCGAGCGATGCGCAGATGTTGCATCGCCTCGAGGTTTGGGTTAGAGCACTATCAGCGCCATGATCCGGGCTCCCATCTGCCCCCAAGCACACGGCGACCCGACACTGTGGTAGATGCGCAATGCTCCGAAAGAGGGCACAGCCAGTCAACGACGCCGCTGTCTGCAGAAGGTCGCCTTTTCTCGGCGGCTGCTGTCAAGCGACGATATGGACGCGGCGAACGGCATTTCGAGTCCAGGGTCTCAGGCCAGGTGATGAACGGTGCGGATGGCGAGAAGCGACGAGTCTGCGGCGGCTCCGTTGCGCGTAGTCGAGATGGGACGCGATACAGGATCGATAGCCCACGGAGGAAGGAGGGATGGGGCCTGGCAGGGGATTGGGAAAGAGCGCCCGGTGACGTGCAGCTTCGCCCGGGTATTCCTCCCTCACCTGCGGTTGCGCCTTACTGCTCTGGACTCTAGCACGTCTTGGCAGCTTCCCTTTGCAGCTCGCACTCCCCAAACCTCCCAATCCACCATCATCACGACGCCAGCATCCAACACCGCACCAACGTCGTTGTTCGTAAAATCCTTGTGAGCCTCAGCGATGATACACGCGGGCAAGGTGACATGCCATTCCTGAGCCTCCCCATGCTCATGTGCATCGCACGTTGCGGCCGGCCACCGAGCGCCCGGGGCTGACGCACGACGACCACCTGGTGCTTCGCAATGCATTCCTTGCCTCTCAAAGAGTAGTTCATATCGAACTTGAGCCAATCACTACCACGCCATCAGCCTTTTTTAGCGGGCGAAGAAGGCCGTCTGGCTTGCTGCAGAAGCTAAGATGAGACTGACCCAGGCGCATTCCTTTGACCTCTAAGCCAGGACTATCATCTGACGCGTCTCTATTACAGGTTGATGGAGCAGGCTTTTCGCTTAGTTCTTTGAGCGTCTCACCGCACTTTGTGCCTGACCCGTGGTGCTTTCGGTACCGGCCATACCATTCCACTGCACCCACGCACGACAGCCGTTGAAGTGTAGATGTAGATGGTGGCTGTGCGAACTTACGGGATCGCCCCTTGAGGTAGTGGTGCATGCAATCTTGAGGTCACGAAGCACTCGACTGTCCTGCAAGGCATCTGTTGGCGATGCACAATGAGCTGCAGCCTCCCGCACCCCCCGTGACGGCGATGATCGGCTGTCAAGCAGTCTTCGTAATCGACAGAATCATGGCGAC